CCCTCGTATTTACAGGCAGAAACCTCCCGAGTACAGCATGACAGCTCGCAACTTTGGTCCTGGTGAAACCACAAAGAAACCAGGACCTGGAGCGCACTATCCTGAGCAGGTAAAACACATCATTATGTCTTAATTAATCACCGAAAGGCCCTAACAATTTAGCATTTTGTTCATGCATTTCACTTTTGACATTTTTCTCTTCCCAGGTGACCATCACAAAAACAAGAGCTCCAAGCTTCTCCTTTGGACTGCGCCACTCAGAATACATCTTGCCTTTCACTGTTAATGTGACTGAATAATGTCACTTATCTGTTTATAAATGGAAACTCACATATAAGTTTCAAATAAAGCACAAAAAGCTAACTCTGCAGGGTTACTGAAATCATATTTTATATCCACATTTACAGGCCTTGCTGTATTGTGACTTGTTACTTTGTCACAGTTATGACCACTATCAGTATTTGAAGTAAATTATGCTGAATAAAAAAAAAATGCACGTCTGGCATTTGTGTTAATGTATCATAATTTTTTAAGAAAGTATTATTGGACCTGTTATTTTTTCAGTTCAGTTATCTCTTGCTCATTTGGAAAAAAATGCATCCCACTTCCTGCGACCATGAGGAAGTCAAGATGCCGTGATGACAAAAAGCAGGTACAAGAAGAGGATTAAGTTGGTTGTTAAAATTTCTGAAGGATAGGAATGTGGGTTAAGTGAAAGGATATAAATGTAGCATTAATGTCTGTGCAGATTCTCAGTCATCCAGGTCATAGTAAACTGAAAAAACTTAGAAAATATCAACTGGACTAGATTTCTAGGTCGAAGACGTTTCACCTCTCATCCAAGAGGCTTCATCAGTTCAGTCAGAACTGATGTTGATTTTTTCTAAGTTTTTTTCAATGTAGCATTAATGAAATGCGTCGAAAGATGGCAGCAATGCAAAAAATGGATGCCGGATACCGTTAACAATCACAAAAGAAGAAGAAGAAAAACCTGAAGAAGACGAGACGAACATGGCGCGGTTTTTCTGTAGCACAGGTGGGTAGTAGTAAAAAAAAAGAAAAAAAAATCATTGTAGACATTGAATTTGCAGCGTTATGTTTGTATGCAGTGCGTAGGTACTTGGTTATTATTCTAAAGTAAATCAGTTCAACAAATGTATATAAACGGCTCTAGCTTTATCCAGCGTTAGCCAGAGTTGAATTAACGCGGAACGTTAGCAAGTCTCTGTTAGCAAGAAACCTTCCAAGCTGAAGGCAGGTCAGCTGATTAGTTCCCTGTGTGTGTAGGCTTATTTAGCCATCCAATTCATGTTTGCTTAGCTTGAGCATGATGACTTTAACAATGAGGCCAATTGTTTGGTATTGCAGCGCTATTAAAACCCAAAGACCAATTTTCATTACGGACACACATCAGCGTCACCCTGTGCTAACAACTATGTTGACATAGCGGTGGTTTGTTTGTGTGCTCGTTGCGAGGCAGTAGGAAACAGACTTCAACACAGCACCTCTGTCTGACGTGCGTGAAGTTGGCCCCCCACCCTACGCAAAATAAGGCCAAAATGTGCTGGTTTGTGCGTCACGCAGATCTCTGACTGCTCTTAGATTGTTTATGAGGTAATGAAGCATCACTTTGTCATTGCTGAGTAATCAGGAAGGACAGCGGCATTTGGCATACCACTTTTCCCTAGTGGTGGCTGCCAAGATCAACCTTGACACGAATTGTAATGGAAATTCTTAATTTTCTTAAACAAGAAAACTAACATGAAACAGTATAATTGCACATAACGTTTCATTCTCTGTCAGGGCTCAAGACATATCAGTAGCATTTTGTGACCAAATTTATTTAAGGTGCAACTGGGCGCGACTAAAATAAACAGCTTATGGACAAATGACTGCTCACACTGTAGAAATAGTGGACAGACGTAACAATCCACACTGGCTCAAGACGCACGTCCTAGATCCCTTGTTACACTTTGTCTGTTCTTTTCTTTGGTACATTTGAAGTGTAATCATCACAGACAGCTGCTTAAATCACCTCTTAGCCCATTTATGTCCTGGAAACTTGACTGAATAAATCCAAAAATACAGAGCCTGCTGATTTCTTGCTGATGAGCACCAGTGAAGATGATTTTTGTTTAGTACACTGCTGTCAGTCAGCCTGGTGAAGACCATGCTGTCCTGCAGATAGGCAGCTGTTCTGACAAGAGGTCAGACTCAGTGTGGATTGAACAGATCAAAGTGTGCATACGTACTGCTCATGTCTACCAAAGTCCCAATTTGACATTAGTAGTGGTTGAACCCCACCATCAAGTCCTTCCTTAAGTATTAGGCTACTAACTTCAGCCCAAAAGTGAGCTGGCACCAGCCAGTTGAGTAAGAGAAAATTAACTGTAATGTGTTAAACAGTTTCATTTATTCTGTAATGGTTTATTGTGCCTTAAACCAAAAGTTCACCAAGCCTGTATTGCTTTATTAAGCATTATTGTATTGCATCTGTTTATGTCTAACATCTTCACAACCTGTAATGATTGACCATTGTTTTCAAGTGAAACACAAAATTAGCAATTTGACAGTACAGCTGGCAAATACACATTAATTCACTGTGGATAAACTTGTTAGGGTAACAAGGTAAACATCACTCTTAGTATACAGTATGTGTGTGTGTGTGTGTGTCTATTTTTTACTGTACAGTATATGGTGTGGTTATGTTTTGTGGATTTGATAAATTTCTAGAAGTTTGTGCACCCTAGAATTTATTTACAACCATCTAAAACTGAAATGTCCTAATTAAGAAGAACAGGAAAGCATAATGCAGAAGTTAATCTGTAAACAACTCTGAATTAACTCTGTATTTGTTTTCATAGATCCTGTTCCTCCACCGGATGAGTGATAACAAGACATCCACGGCTCTGGAATTCTTCCTTGAAGCTGCAAAGAAACATGGCTTTCCATCCAGGTACACGCTTGTTTTGCTTTTTATATAAATATTGGGATAAGTAAAACCTTTAATTTGATTACACAGTTGTGGTGCACTAAATACTACACCAGTGTTGTTGAATTATATCACCTAGTTTGTAGCATATAGTTATATAATTATCTGAAATATCTAATTAGGCTTCCTATTAGTAGTTTTTCCTGCAATGCAGAGTGCCCGTGGGTTTCCAAACATTGTAAGGTCATTTTTGAAAACCAGCTTTTAACTTTATTACAGTCAATTATTATCAATATATTATATCTATAATGTAGAAAAATATTTGTATACTTCGAGGTGTGACGAGATCTAATGCCACAAAGTCTCGCGATATTAAAATGTGACTATATTTCTCATCGCGGTAAAAGCCTTTTTGTGATGTCAATAGTCTAACAAAAACGTACCTGCCTGCTGTGCTTTAACGCACGGGACTGCATTGGTGAGGGGCTGAGGGGTTGTAGGGGAAGTGCTGTAGGCATGTACGATATGGCCACGTTGTGAGGAGTCGACATGAGTGGCATCATTCACGTTTCCAGCCCTGAGTTTCTGTTGTGTTTTGGTTAGCCTTCCTGCTAATGTAGCCTACTCTACCTTAGCGCAAATTCTAACACCAGTGTGTCGGCATTGATGGATAAAAAACGCAGTTTAACATCCAGTACTAAAGAAAATGCATTACGTGTCGTTGTGGTACGTTAACTGTAGCTTGAATTTGACAGTGAATAACAGTGAATGTTCATGCTAACAAGGTCAACTCTTTCTCCCATGAGCGTCCACGTCCCCTATTGTCCCTCTACGTGATTGGTCAACGCAACACCTTTGCCAGATGATATCACCGTCTGGTGTGGTGCGTTTGAGGGTGAATATAGCATAGAAGGTCACCCACAGCTTCAATTAGAATTTAGAAGCTCATGCATAGTTCATGCACAGTGATAAGGTCTGAAGAGACCCCTGAAATCATACTGGAGAGGAGCCAGTCAGTTGGTTGCAAAACCTTTTGGAGTACAGAATCAGAAACAGCTTTATTGGCCAGGTGTGATGGACAAGAGGATTTTGACTCTGGCACAGCGGCTCTCAATATGTTTGTACATATCCTTATGTAAGACAATGGCAAAGGGCATTGCATATTGTTGTATTTTTACTGCATATGATAATTCATACTAAAAAAATTGAACTGGTGTAATTCATTACAAGATGATTAATTGAAACATTTCAAAATGCACCTGCATTGTTTTGTATTTTGTGACTCAGTCAAATAAAACATTTTTCCATTTATACATTTCATCATGGAAGATTTCTTAAAAATAGTATTAAAATATTGTCTTGTTCTTGTGAATCCAACGTATGTATCATCTCACCCCTAATTATACTGAAACACGGTCACTGTAATGTTGATATTATACTGATTGCAGTTTTTTTATGCCCCTTCAAGAGTGAGAGTGGACCAAGGAGCTGAGAATGTGAGCATTTGAGACCGGCATAGAAAGCTTCCCACCGAAAGGATTGTTAAAGTGAGTAATTCTACCTGCCTTCATAACAGGTTTACTTGCTTCAGTGGGATGTCCTCCACTTTGTTTTATTTACTTGGTGTTGAGGTGTAAATAACAGTGTGATATGGACTAAAGGTTTATAGAACAAAGAAATGTAGTCTTTGTTTTCAGGATAGAGAGCCTGTGGCATGATATTTGTAATGAGTGAAACGTCTGTTGTGATGTCTTCCACAGCCTTGAGGAATAGAGACTGCTCGATCCAACAGAGTCCACTCGCCCCTTCTGTGCCCAAGTATGGGTTATTTTGCCTCGAGTCCAAGCTGAGGGAACCAACCCTTCAATCGGAACAGAATGCAACTCCACCCCAAACCAGCTGTGGGAAGACTGTCCTGCCAGTCCTCCTGAGATACTGAGGTAAGCTGACTTAGCACCACCATGTTAGAGCTGCATGACTTTCCATTTCATTTCACCATTGCAGAAACATATTGAGACCCTGTGGCTTGACCGTTCTTTTCAGAATTGTTCACAAAATGCATTTCAGAAGCACTCTCCACACGTTTAATTTCAGGGGGACCAGTTTCCTGATGTTGACATGGATCATGCTGGAGTACAGTTTCTAGAACTGGTCTCTCCTCTGGACAGTGAAGAATTGGAAGCCCTGACATGTGGCCCCTTGCATCTAAATGTTCAACAACTGGAGAACAGAACCAGGTAGTTGTAATGACTTTATTACAGTATACAGTGATTTCACCAGAGCCAGATGATATTGCTAATCCTGTCTTAATAATGGTGTTAAACATTCTGATTATTTGCAGCCCTGTTTTAGTGTACTGCTGAAGTCCACACCACTCTAGTAACCAGAGGTAAATAACATTTTCAAATGACTGCTCAACGATTACCATTACCTTAAGGTTTTCGAATAGTCATAACACTGCAATATGTAAATATCTAGCTCTTAACTGTAACAAAGGACATGAAGCAGAATTGACAAAACCAAGCAATGTACATCTCTATTGCAGATGTTCACCGCCCAGTGGGCAAGTTGACCAAAGGTGAAGCTGTCAAGACAGAGTACTTCACATGGAGAAGTCTTAACTGTGGACGTGTCCAGGTATTCTCAATGCAACACAGCATGGGGATGATGTAAAGGTACTCTGCCTTGACAACTTTGACCATGCCAGTAGCCATTTCCCATCTCACCCTAACATTGGCAGCTGGCTAAGTTGAGTGGCTGCAAAAAAAGAAAAAAAAAATTTGAGGATTTCATTAATAATCAGTAATTTATAAATGAACTTGCCTGTCTTGATGCATGTCCTCAAGAATCCTATCATACAGTTCTGAATGCTCACTGTGTTTGAATCATCGTCATAGTCACTTTAAGTTCATGGCCAGACAATCTGGTTGAGTATTGCCTAAGGGGGAATGGCAAAAGTCTGAATTTAAAGCATATTCACACATTTGTAACAAAGGTATGTTCTGTGTTCCTTAGGAGAAAGT